AATGTATGTACAAGTTAACTAGGAAGAGTCTCTAAAGTTTTAAATATTTAATATTATAGTGCAATAGTTATATATATTATAATCTTTAAATTTAATAAAATGGTGTTTTATTATAAAACAAATATTTATATTAAAAAAGTAAATGCAAAAACTTTTATTTTCCGTAATAGCGAAATAGATGGCTTCGATAAAACAAAGTTTCAAAATTTACAATCAAATATTTAAACCTTTGAAGTCAGTAATATCTCTGGTACATAAAATTTCTTTTATTGAATATGGCATGCATTCATTTGTGAATCTAAACAGCGCTTGGCCACATTCAAACTATTTAAGTGTTTTACAGTAAGATCTTACTTGACATCTATAACATTTCCTTTGTAGGTGCCTATATTGAAATACGCAAGAATCTTACTTAGCAAGGGGACTCTCAGTTTTCCACGCGGGAAAAAATAAAACGAATGTTAAATAAGCGCGCAAAAATCTTCGAACCATGACAACATATTATTGTCTATATAGCGGAGTTTGATCATGATAATTTCACCTTTAAAGTTATATAACACAAGACAAGATACTTTAAAATTATATAATTTGAATTATTTCTAAAAAATTTTGTTATAACAAATAGATCTAGGAATATATTAGTTATAGCATAACATACATACGTGTAAATGCAAAATATGTTAAAAATAATTTATTTATAATTCATTAATTATTATGTTAAACATTTAATTTAATTTTTATTTCAAAAATACAAAGAGCTCAAATAATTCTGGTATTTTTAAAATGTTTCAAAGTACGAGTGTTTCCCAAACCAACATACCGCTTTAAATGCTCAAACAACATACGTAAAAAAGTGTTTGTAACATTTGTTCTTTTCCTACTTTACCCTTAGGACCTAAGTTATTGATATTTATTGTTTTGACTTTGTTAATATGCAATATTTAAAATCGCATATTATGGAAATATGTTACATTAGTTTTTTACATGGTATATTAATTTTTTATTTTATAAAAATTGTATATTAAGCTAAATAATATTAAATGTGGTATCGCCAAATACAAAGATTTAGTGTTTTTATTACATAAACAACTTATTTTAATAAACACACGCATATTTTATCTTCATTATCATATTAAAAAAAAAGTATTTTGAAAACTTTAAAAATAAACTGTATATTTTATTTGTTTTAAACACTGTACATTGTTCTTAGAATGTTTGTAGAAAATTCTGTTTTCAGTTTTAAGAAAATTTGCGTGTGTTACGTCAGAATTATGGTTATCTATATACGATGTATATACGTTGTATATACATATGTATTTAATTTCATTATTTGTTCATAATTATATCATATTTGTATATGATATAATAAATGCTGAATAAAGCATTTTCAACTTTAAAGAATTAACGAGATCATAAGAAGTAAAGAGATTACAATTTATTTATTCAAAAAAGGCGAACAATTTCTTAATCAATTTTTCTTCAATTTTCAAAATTTGAAATTATTATTTCATTCTATTCGACCATGACACCAGAAATTTTGTTAAAAACTGCAGTGATAAACTTATTTCATTAGAATAAAATGTTTGTCTTTTCTCTTACATCGTATGAAATGGTGTCCCAGAAAAATCTTGGAAACTACTTTATGATAATATATTATTCAGCCGCTTACATGAAATATCTATGCATAGTAATTAAAATGGACAGTTAAATAATTTTTTTTCGCGCTAAATATTTCTTGTATAAGTAAAAAAAGTTGAAATGTACTCGTATATTACGAGTTACGAGTGTTTTGACGGTTATATTTTTTTTTTAACAGTTTTTCCCCATGAAATTTTTTGAAAAACAAATTTTTTATAATTATATTTTAAAGTTAATCTTTCCTTAATTTTTTCATAATAATGGTCTCGTCTAATCGTGTTGTATATGAATCGAAAGGTAATGCTTTTTCTACTAAAAGCATGTTGCATAATCTGTATATCTTATGGCATACAATTTAATGAGAAAGACGTAAACTAATTAAATAGTTTTCTATATTAAAAAAATTTATTCACATAAAATCCGATTTACAAATCTAGTTTTTTATTGTGGTATAAAACAAAGCATACAAATATTTAAATGGTAATGAATATTTAATGATGTTTTTTTATTTATTCACAAAAATTGTAAGTCAAAATTAATTTCAAATAAAACGAAAAAAGTGTTTAATACGAAATTAAAAAATAAATATAACTATTAAATCATATTATGGGTAGCTTTCAATATATTTAAGTCGTTCTTACGTTTAATAAGAGGAGTTAATAAAAAGAAAACTTTTTTTGTTTTCTATTTTAAATTGCAATCACAATAAATCAATGCTAAAACTTAGAAGGCTTTTATTGAATCTTTAGAAATATAAGCTCCTTTTTTTGGCTCCTTTATTTTTTAGATTATATTCCAGTTCTATTAATTATTTGTGATACATATACCATTTATAAAATTATAATAGAAAAAATGTACAACTATGGTAACGTTTTTTTTTAAATTTTTTTACCAACGGACATTATCCGGCCCTAAAACTCCTTCTTTTAACGATTAGCATAATAAAACACAATTATCCCATTTCCTATTAAAAAAGAAATACACAAAAATATGGTTTTAATATAAGCACCCTTTGAAAGCTGTTTATAAACTGTTTATTATATGTAACCTATTTATATTAAATTTACCTTACCGTTTGTAACGCTAAAAAAAATCGTCTGAGATACAGACTCAAGAGTCTGTTTTTGATCAGCGTCGAATTCCGAGTTGATTTAACTTTGTCTGTCCGTCAGTCCCAACGACAACTCAAGAACTAATTAAGCTAAGTTTACCAAATTTTCACATATGATTTATTATAGTAAATGCTAAGACCCTATTTAAGTTGGAAATGATCGAGATACTGGTTCGGGTAGCTGCCACACAACTTCAAAATTTATTTGGCTATGTAAGAAATTATAGGAAATTTCGAATAAGCGAATACATTATTAGGGTCATTGTGTTTGATAAAAGTCATTGAAATTGCTTGGATCTCAATGGTAGCTGCCATGCAACTTGAAACTTGAAAAGTTATTTGGTATTATCTCAGAAACTATTGGTACGGATATAACAGAGTTGACATGGTCAACCCTATTTATCAAACACAACAGAGCGAGGAAAATAAACAGAGTTGACATGGTCAACCCTATTTATTTTCCTCGCTTTTACCGACCGCATTGCTTACAATAAGGGAGGTTATATAATGGCAACAAATTTTGCATATCGAGTTTTCGGTGGGAACGTACTTCTTCGTAATGGTAAGAAAGCGTAAATGAACTATTTTTAGAGAGGTGTCGGTCGGTCTGTCTGTTTGTGTGTGCACGCGGGTATCTTAAGTTCGGCTGAAGCGATTTTTATGAAATTTTATACGTGAGTTTGTTTTGGTTACGGATAACTGTTTTGCGGTCCAATTTTAGATTTTTACCTATATAAAGAGAAATAACCATCAAATTCTTTGAAATTTTAAGGCATTGTAATGTGCTGACCACATCACATTTTTTTATAAAAATTGTTTAAACATATTAAGATAATCAAAATTTTCACTTTTGATTGTTACACAAAGAGATAAGTAATATTTTTTAATTAAAATTTATAATAATTAAAAATTATTATAACGTTATATGGGTTTAATTATAGATCTTATCATAGTGTATCGAAAAAAAAAACAAAAATTCTGACTTTGACTAGCTGTATCTCGGAAAGTGTGACTAAAACCAAATTAATTGTAAAATCAAAAATCAATCAATCGTCTGTAAAACAAGCTCCCTATGATAACTCTATGTTTTATGATTTCAAAGTTATAAGCATTTATCTATATGTAGGAAAAGTTCCGTACCTTTTTTTCCAACAGGCTGTAGCAACAAAACGAGTATATCTGTACCCGTCGCCTCCAAATTCATAAAATTTTTTGCTGGAAGTTGATCAAAAAATCATCCCTGAAATTATTTGCCAGCTAATGCAAAATATCCTGTTTAAGTACGGTTATTAATTTATTGTCATGTTTAGAATTATTATAAATTTGTAATAGTTTTTAATTCTGAATTTTATTATAGAAAATTAATATTGCATATTAACAAAGTTAAAACAATAAATATCAATGTTTATAATAAGGGAGGTTATATGATGGCACGAAATTTCGGATGTCTAGTTTTCGGTGGGAACGCTTCTTTATGGTAGGAAAGAGTCAATAAACTATTTTTAAAGATGTGCTGGTCCGTTGGTCAGCCTGTCTGTGTGTGTCTCGAATGTGAACGCGTGTATCTCGAATTCAGCTGAATCGATTTCGATTAATTTCTATGTGTGAATTTGTTTTGGTTATGTCACGGGTTGATCAAATTTTGGAACATATTAGGTCTCGGGAACTGAACCTTTTTGCGGGATGATTTTGAAATTTGATTCCTTGAAATTTGATATTTGAATTCGGGATGTTAAAACAAATTTTGAGAACTATCAAGGCTCAGAAATCCAACTAGGGACCTTTCTTAAGTTTTTTACCATATTAATAGAATTTCTCGAAATTTAATATTTGAGTTCCGATTGTTACCAAAACTAACTGGCGAGTTTTTTTCAGGAATTCGGATACCACAAAGCTGAACTCTACTAAGAGCTAAATTTACAATTTTTCGGAGTATGTTAATTGGAAACTTATTAGCTTCCTCATAATTGGAAAGAAGTGATTTAATGGCATTTTTATAATTTTCTGTAATACTTTGAAACATTATGGCATTTTTATAACTTTCTGTAACACTGAACTAGACAACACAAATCGTGATCGGTTATGCTGACCACATCAGATTGTTTTTTATATAAATAAAATATTTTTTAGTTTATTCGAATATTTATGTACATATAAATTAAACATACATATATTGTGTAAATTGTATTGAATATTAAACAATTTAAATTAACAAAAATTGAATAGTATTTACAATATTTTTACATCTTACCGTTTCGGCATCCGTCATGTTTAATAAATTTTGTGCTTTCAATTAGTTTGTATATGCACTTATGTAGGCACAAAATTTTTTTTTCTTTTTTTAAAATTGTTGTTTTTTCTTATTTTGATTTATTTTATTCAATTTTTTTAATTATTTACAAAATTTTAAAATTGATTCCTTTTATAAATTATCGATTTACCACGTTTTGTACATTACACATGTATGAGGATGATTTTTGAAAAAATTTTTCTTATTTCGTATGCATAATTATAATTAAAAGAAAAATGAATGTTATTTTATTATAAAAAAGCAGAAATTGTTAAAATAAAATAAGAATTTTCTTCGTTACGAAAAGGAAAATTTCTATATATGTATGTATGTAATTTCTAGAAAACTAAAAAATATAATGTCAAAATAGATAAAATATTACATTGTAAAAAAGATTTGTCGTAGAATTTGTCTTAAGTGAAAAACTAAGGTTAGATTACAAAATCGTCGAACAAAAATAAAGTTTAGATATGAGAAAGAGGGTTTCAGATAATGACTTCATACATGTGACATCATAGCCTACTGTGAAATAAAAAACTTTGCTTCTACTACTTTTGCCCAAAATGTCCTTGAAGGACGATAGAAACCTTCAAAAGTAAAATTTTTAAAATTTTTAACAGTTTATATTTCTTAAACCAAAGAATGTATGAACGTTAACTAAAAATCATAAATTAAAGATTGAGAAGTCACCTTTCATGTTTTTATTGAACATAATTATATCTCTTATACATTTTCGAAGATAAAACGGTTTTTTTGAAAGAAGTAGTATTAAATATGTGAAAAAACGGTTCTTTTTCAAAAAGTTTCGTTATTAAAATATATATATTTTTTATGTGTTTGAATAAATTCTATTTTTTTTAGCTTTAATTTAGTAAAACATATTACACATTCATCTCTTATAGTTAAACTTGTAAAAGGCCCTTCTTTCTTTTCTAAATAAGTTTTTACCTAACTGACTAATCGTGGTTGTTGTTTTCAATTCTTTATGAATAATGTGCCCGTACATTTTATGTCGAGAATATTAACATTATAGTGCGAAAATATTTTCACCTTCATCAATATCATCGCTCCCACATATGTATACTTTTATGGAAATACATAGCTACATATATATTTATGAAAAAAGAACTTCAATTAATGACCGACATTATAATGAAATAAAATAAAAAAAGACACAAACTGTTTGGAGAAAAAGTTTTTATTGCATTTTCCTTCTACATCCCATTAAAAATCTGTACGGTATTTTTTATTTCGATTTTTATTTTGCTTGTAAGTCTCAAAACTTTTCCCAACATGATATGAGTATATCTATGTATTGTAATAATTTTATAAACTAAATACTAAATATATATACATACATATATTATTTAGTATTTGCATTTATGCGCAACCTGCACTAAAAACTTTAAGCAAAAAAGAAACAACAATAAAAGTATGACGGCAAAAAAACAAAATAAAGAGAAGAAAAACAGAAATGCAAAAAATTAAAAAACGTGCGACTTCTAGCGATGAATTTCACAAGCAAAAAAGCAATCTACAACATGGAAATTCCGAACTTTATCTAGTAGAATTTTAATAAGCAAATGCGAGCTGATGTATATTTGTTCTCATTGGCATGAATAAGATTGAAAATGATATCCTCTCGAGAGCTTGATTGTTCCTTGTATACAGACCTTACAGTATTTGTTAGCTTTTATTGTTTTTTCTTTGTCGTAGGTTTAAAATTTATTTTGAATTTACATTTATACACAAAGTATAAAAGTATCTAGTATATTCCATATGTATAATAAAATATTTTGAATGTATACAAAATGGAATTGTTTTTGCTATAATTGGTTTGGTATTAAAAAACCAAAAAAAAAAAAAAATTGGAAAACGTAAAATTTAACACTTAATTACAACAAGTGTTTCACAGTTTCATGTGCAGGCCGTTTATTATGTTTATTTTTTTTTGTTATTTTATTTAACTCTTAATTTTATACGAAATAAAGTATTTTTAATTTTGATTTTTATTTAACTATATTCAAGTTATTAATATGGCGAGCCAAGCGACAATTTCTTTCTCTATTGCGATAGAAAAATATTTAAAATTATAACAACAATTTTTTAAAAAATTAACAAAAGAAGAACGTTAGTTAAAGAGAGGATAAGTATTTTTATTTACTATTTTATATAAGAGCCTATTTTATTGGTTATGCACGTCCAATATGCTCAAAAGTAAAAAGCCATAAAGTAATAAGTTAGCGAGTCTAATATACATAGATGATAATAAATAGGGTATATGCGAAAATGCATCAATACGGTTATACTCTAAAGTTTGGTGTCCAAAAATTCAAAAATACGCTACGTATGGACATCATATTAAATCAGCTGTGCATCAATTTTTTTTGCAATTTTGTATTGATGCAAAGTTTTTTATTTGGAAGCTGAGAAGTAAATAATTTATTATTTGAACTCAATAACTAATAAAGTTAATTATTTTTTTTATTAATACGGTATTAATATTTTTATATGTTCCATTATATCAAAATCTCTAAAACTTAATTGAAATTAAAAAAAATTTTTTTAATAGATTTCAGTTGTTAATATTTTTAATATTTTTACACAAATAAAATTTTGTTTTTTCTCACAATTTCTCGAAATAAACGCCAAAAAAACATATGATTTACAAAGTGTTTAAAAATGTCAAAATAATATTCATCAGCAAGGTAAAAGTATCACATCGGTATAGCATCAGCAACTTTTTGTTTCATCGACGCTGCATTGATGCACATTTTGGATAACTTTCCGATTATATCCATAATTTTTAAAATTTATCAAATGTAAAGTTTATATCTTTGAATGTAAAGTTTACATCTGCGACGCCATTGTCTTAAGAATATCCGATGTTGTATTACAAATTATTAAAACTCGAAACAAAAAATTGTGGATATAAATGAATTTATATATGTACATAATTTACATTATAATATATGATTTATATAAAATTTATATTTACAATTTGGGAAATAATGTACATTTTGGGAATAATAATGATTTAGTCAAAATACTAAAAGTCAACAGTTAAAAACAAAAAAAATTACAATTCTAAGCTTACGTTACATTTAATAACCATTGTGCATTTTATACTACTTTGATATCATGTTATTTAAAAACCATATTTAAAACAATTTTTATTAAAAATACGCTTTTCCTAAAAAAATTATATGTTACTGAAGTTCACAACTAATTGTAAAGCTCACTGCTATCATTTTGTTTTATAATTATTTTAGAAATAATTATACACACCAAATACACAGGTGCTAGAAAATAAAACCGTATAAGTTGTGCTACTATTATTTTAATAATATCATTTAGGTAAGTGCAGAAGAAATAAAACAAAACATATTATATAACAAATAAATATAATTGAATTGAATATATATAACAAATTAATATAATTGAATTATAACTTTTTTTGCGTTTTTCATATAATTTAAAATTCTCGTTAAGTGCAATTTTGGTTTTAAAATTATTCAAAAACAATATTTTGCGCGACGATAGTAATCGGTGGGAAAAAGCGTAATTTACCTGTTATAAAAATTATTGTAGCGTAAAAGGCAACCTTTTCACAACATCTAAAACATTTATATATATGTTACAAATTTATATACGTATATAATTTTAACCGTTTAAAAACACTTATGATAAGAAAAGAAAAACAAAATAAATAATTAAAGGGATTCTTTTAAAATGTATAAGGGCACTTTTCTTTTAGTATACACAACTGTTATGTTCTAAGAAAGGGTAATTTGAAAAAGAAATAAACAAAAAAGTATGAGTAGAAAAATGCACTAAAAAATAAACGACCAAAAAAAAACCGTTAGAAAATTCTTTAGATTTCTTTTATTTTTCAAAGTTAAATCCCGACTGTCGATAGTTGTGGTAAAACTAAATTTTCATTTTTTTTAACAAAAAACAAAAAAAAAATAATAGCAATAAAAAAAGTAAAAATAAAAACCAGTTAGAAACTTATTTTTTATTTAGTTTTCTTATTTTAATTTTTTGGTTACCTACTTACATAAGTTCGTTTTGCAATCCTTTAATAATCATTCTTTCTTGTGTCTGTCTGTTAAACTAAACAAGGCAGATACATCTGTATGTAGTGATATCAAATAAAAATTCCAAATTAAAAAACAGTTTTACATATACATACATACTGTCTTAGTATAAATGTTTTACCTCTTTGTACATGAAACACATGAACGCGAACTGTTCTTTGTAAAATTCAAAATCTTTTTTTATTTCAAAAAATGTAAAAGTTTTTAAATTAAATTAAATCTTTCAGGCACAAAGATGAAAATTATTTTTCGAAGGAATAAAATTTTCCGAAACAATTCTTGAAGTTTTATATTTCGAACTTTTCCGATTAAAATGTTGGTGTTCAATTTTTGTGTATTCTCATTTTATTATGTTTCTAAAGGTTATCTATGTTATTGTAATTGTCTTCCCTGCCAATTATCTTACATAATACTCGTAATATTGCTTTGATTTTTTTTCGAAATTCAGTATTCTTCTTCAGAAAGCCTTCTTTTTGAAAGACAGTAAGGTCGGATGAATTTAAATTATTTTTTTAAATGTATTTAATCTCTAGTAAATTCACCAACCACTTTTCTTAAAATTTTGACTTTAAATATCCAAATAATATGTAGAATCAGCAGAGTTAAAAATATTAGTTGATTTCCTTCACACAAATGATTTTCATAAAATTTTGGAAACTATTTTCTACCTATTCTTTGGGCTTGGTATTGATTGTCTGATAGATATATATAGCATTAGTATTTAGTATATGGCTAATTTTAGGCAATTCATAACGTTTAGTGAATTTCATCTAAATAATGTTTACAAAGGAAAAGGACTTGCGCTCTATTGCATTTTCTTGAATCCAAAAATAAAAAACAAATAATAGAATTGAAAAAAAAACATAATAATTCTATATTTATTTAAATTTGTACATATACCTCTAAAACATAGAAAACACACTTACATATACTTGCATATATAATATTTATTAAATAAAAAGTAAGTAAATATAGCATATTTGTGTTCATATAGTAACAAACTCAAAAAGATAATAAAAAATTAAATCAAAGAAGAAAAAAGCGAATAAAAAGGAAAAATACTAAAAAATTAAAATTCGAAACTTTTTAGCACTTTTCCGAAAAATTTTTGAAAAAAAGTGATTATTAGTTTCACTCTGTCCGTCCGTCCGTCCATCCGTCCGTCCCTCTGTCAGTGTGTCTGTTTAGAAAATTTCTACACCCTTGAAGGTAGAATGCTGAAATTTTATACGTACATAGATCTTTACTAGAAACTCTTTTCCGTAGAACAAAATTTTCACCTATCTCTCCCCCTCTAAAAGTTAAACCCCCCAAAACCCTAAAAACGGCAACTATTTATTGCAATGAAGCCATAAACATTTTCCAATTTTTGCGAAAGCAAAAAAATAGTAGCTGGCTTCTTCTATCGCGGCATACCATTTTTGAACTTTAAAAAAACAAAATGGGGGTTAAAATTTACCGTTATCTAAAATCCATTTTTTCCAAATTTTTGATACCATTTTTCTTCTACACCGTACGTTACAGGAGTCTGAAATTTTAGCAGCTCTTAGAAAATTTTTTTCCCATGTCCACCCCCTCTCAAGTTATCACCTCTCGAAATTTGTAAAATTTGCATATTTGGCACCTTATATTTGCGAAACCACAAGCTTTTTCAAATTTCTATAAACGCCAAAAACTAACGGTAAATTCCGTGTCATTAAAAAATATAATTATTTTTCTTAACTCACACAATTAACCCTTAAAATCGATCATCATGTGAACCTTTCTTTAAATTTATTTTTACTTTATTTCAGACTGCATAAATCGTTCATCCTAAATGTATGCAATCCTAGAAACAGTTTCGTACACGAATGAAAATAATTTTAATAGTGTCGTAGGTATACATAGACTTTATTAATTAAAAGCAGTATTTTCATTCGTTGAAGGGAAAAGTGCTACAATACAAACCATTGGTTTGACCCAACTTTATTATTCTTTTTTTTAGGAAAAAATACTGTTAACATTGATGTTGATGTTTCGAATATTTCTACTTACACAGTTCAAAGAATAAGGCACTAGATTTGTGCAGCAAAAATATAAAACTTGCTAATTGTCTCGTTAACATTATAGCATAAATATTTAAAAGCTGTTTACTGTCTAAGTACGTTTCACAGAGCCTTATGACTACACTTGAATCTTTTGTATGGTCGATGTTCACTGTACAATGCACAAGTTTCGATATACTGGGGTTTAAAGTTAAATATATTTTTTTTGCATTTTGCAACTTTGACCGTTATGATTGAATATAATTTTACAATAAAAAGTTTCTCTCAAATATGCAAATTAGTAAAAATTTTTTTTTAGTTTTGGGAACCGCATGTTGAAAATGTTTAAACTTTTAAGGTTTCGTTTAAAAAAAAAATTATTTTTTAAGTAATGTAACATTGTAGTTTTTTATAGCCGTGCGAACGTATGTTGCCAGAACCCCATTTATATGCTCGGGGCACTGGTTCGGGTGGCTGCCATACAACCTCAAAACTTATTTGACTATATCTTAGAAATTATGAAAGCTTTGATATTGAAATTTCGCATATATAAAAACATTAGTAGAGCCAATGTGTTTTATAAAAGTGGTTGAAATTGCTTGATTCCTTCTGATAGCTGCCATACAACTTCAAAAGTTATTTGGCTATATCCCAGAAACTATTAAAATTGTGATATTGAAATTTCATATAAGCGAATATATTAGTAGGACCAGAATGTTTGATAAAAGTCGTTGAAATTGCTTATCTCCTTTTGGTAACTGCCATTCATTTTCAAAGCTTATTTGACTATATCTCAGAAAATGTAAAAGCTGTGGTATTGAAATTTCGCACAAGTAAATATATAAGTAGGGCCGATGTGTTTGATAAAATTCGTTGAAATTGCTTGGCTCTTTCAGGTAGCTGCCATACAACTTCAATAGTAGTTTAGCCATATTTTAGAAAATATTTAAAACACAGTATTAAAAGTCATAGTCTGTCCCATAGTCAGCTATGACACATTAATTCGTACACCGAGTTGACACGGTCAATTCTATTTTTTCTCGTTTGTTTTAATTTGAGCCTATATAGCATATTTGTAAATTAAGCTTTAGTTTGTCTGTACTTCTAATGGATTAATGAGAAAAGCACTATGTAAGTGTTGTTTATATAACTTTTTTTTTTTTTTGTCTACTAGGTGAAAAAATCTCGACAGACGAAGAAGGACGACTCTATCTGCCTTTTTCCGCCGACAGTGGGGGAGCGTGACTCCTACCCTAAAAAATGACCTAAATTTTGAACGGATAAAACTGGTCCCTCAGACCAACTATTACCTCCGTGCTAACTTGGTTTTTCCATGCAGGAATTAAATACCTTCCATAAGGAAATTGGTATTTCGTGTTAAATCGAATGGTCTTGTTCGTTTAAGTCTTTCTGTCATAACGCCATTGTCTAGCAGCCGAGCTGCTTTAATAGCTACATGCTGTTCTAGACGAGCCCTATGCTTTGTAGCACAACTCCTAATTTCATCCACAACCAAAGGAATTCCTAAGTCCCTGTGGATATCACTGTTACGTATATACCATGGCGCATTTACCATGCCCCTCAGAACTTTATTTTGGAAGGTTTGAATTTTGTTAATGTGAGTCTTCTTGGCACAGCCCCACAGCTGAATGCCATATCGCCATATTGGTTTAATGATTTGGTTATAAATTAATATCTTATTATCAATTGCCAATCTACCTAGGAGCCAATAATTTTCTTTATATTTATTTTCTAATTCTATGTGTTTCTTCTTTATATGTTCTTTCCACCTTAGCTTGACATCTAAAGTTATTCCTAGGTATTTTGCTGAGTTATGGATCGCTACGTTCGTTCCATTTACGTTAATTTGTGGTGGATTCACTATTTTCCGATTGGTGAAGTTTATGTGAACCAATTTTGCTTCATTCAACTTCACCCTCCAATCTCTAGTCCACTGGCTTATTTTGTTAATTGCCTCCTGTAATTTTTTGTCGAATCGTCAATGATCGCTCCTACTGCCAATATTGCAGTATCGTCAGTAAAAGTGCCTATCGTGGCATTTTCTATTTGTGGCAAATCACTCGTGTAAAGCAAGTACAACGTTGGGCCCAATATACTGCCTTGAGACACACCTGCCTTTATTTCTCTTAGCGTGGAGTATTCAGCATCTTGTTTAATTGTAAATAATCTATCAGCTAAGTAAGATTTCAAAATTTCTACAAATGACGATGGTAACATTTGCCCTAACTTAAGTATAAGGTTCCTGTGCCACACCTTGTCGAATGGCTGTGCTACGTCTAGAAATATAGAAGAGCAGATTTCCTTATTTTCCAAGCTTTTTTCTATAATATTAGTTATTCTATGGACCTGGTCTATTATAGAATGGTTTCTTCTAAAACCAAATTGATGGTTCGGTATTAGGCCCCTATTTTCTATTATTGGCTTCAATCTCGTTAATAGCAGCTTTTCAAAAAGCTTAGACATCATTGGTAACAGTGAAATGGGCCTGTAAGACTTTGTTTCCCTCAAGGATTTCCCGGGTTTTGGCACCATAATTACCTCCGCGACTTTCCAAGCACAAGGAACATACCTTAAATCCATAGCTGCATTCATGATTTTCATCAGATGTTCCAATGCCTCGTCTGGTAGCTCTCAGTACTTCCGCAATAATAAGATCAAAACCTGGCGATTTTTTCAACTTCAGGGATCTTATCTCTTCCGCAAC